GAACCGTGGGTGAGTTTGACTCCTCCAACTAAAGGTTACTCTGCTAGAAAGCCAAGCCATCTTTCACCACAAGAGCTGGAGGAAGAGCTTTTTGATATGTTCTTGAAGGCAAGATTTCATGCCAGGTACTCTCAACTTAAGCTTTCTAGATTCAAAACTGTGTCTTGGACCTATCTTGGTGATTTATGTCTCTTTTCTCGCTGGTTTCCAGCAATGTTATAGGGGTGGCTGCTGATGGCTGGTTAACTATAATGGACCGCTTCCTTGTGCTAGGAGATGAGAACGCTGAGGAAAAAGCTGAAATGAAGAAGAAAATGTTAAAGCTCATTGATATATATTATGATGCTCTCGATGCAACTAAGAAAGGTGCTAAGGTCTACCTTCCTGAGCAGCTGAAGCCTGACATTTTTCCACATTACATGGAGCGTGATCAAAAATTCAATTCTACTTCTATTCTTGGAATAATCTATGACTTTGTTAAATCACAGACAGCAGAGCAACAAACACCATCAGCTGGTAAAGAATCTTTCTTTCTTAGTTACTATACTAATGATCAGAACACAGAAACAAATCATTATATCATCTTGAATATTTATTTAACTATCGTGTTTATACAATTCAGAGATCAGTAAACTCTCGTGTTTCGAAGAAGAGCCGATCTCTGGTTATCATAAGAAGAAATGTGGACAGTTGTATGAGAAGTACAGAAAGGAGATGATCCAGGCGATGCGTGACAAAGATGAATCAGCCAATGAAGTTATACAGAGATACAAGCAGGTAAGCTCTTCAATGGATCACGTATGTTTTATTTATTGGTCCCATGAAAGTCTCCCACCAATAGATTTGTTTCTGCTTGTTGTGTGGCAGGAGTTCTATGGTGCTGCAGGGTTTGAAGACAGCAAGGAAAGTATCGAACAACTTTATCCGCAAGCCTTGGCACTTTACAACGTCGTTTACGACCATGCAATCAAAATGAAAAACGTTAGAAACTGTGGGTTTGCGTGGAAGGTTGCAGGACCGATCCTGTGCAGGTTCTACCTGGAGAAAAAGCAGGGAAAATCCTTACTGTGTTCACTCACAATGCTTAAAGAGCTCTGGGGTTGATCACAAAGTACTTGTTATATGCCCTGTTCGTGTAGTATAAATAAGCCTTTTGTTGTGATCATCATGTATAATAAGAAGCGTGCGAGTCAAGTATCTTACCTTAGTAACACCCTAAGCTTATCCGTTCAAGTTCTGGTGTAGTGGTTCCTTTTTTTTTAAGTTCTAGTTTCACCCTTATCCTCTGTGTGATACTTTCGTGTGTATATTTGCTTATGATATGTTCTTCTTGTAAGAAGATAATGTTAAATACCAAAGCTTAATTAAATTTATATCAGTTAGTTAACCCTGCCGCACCAGTGTTGAATAATCTTGAAGTTTGTAATATATGTAGCAAATTAATAGCTTTGAACCTATGGCTTCTTTGAAATGGATTTGACTAGTCTGAAACCATGGTTTTCAAATGATGCAGTCGGAAACCACAAAGGACACTAACCATTAGATAAAAATCAAGCTCTCAAGCAAGAATTCACTAAACATTAGATAAAAGTCAAGCTCTCAAGCAAGAATTCGATAAGAAAACTCTGGAATCCACTAACCATTAGATAAAAATCAAGCTCTCAAGCAAGAATTCACTAACCATTAGATAAAAATCAAGCTCTCAAGCAAGAACTCAATAAGAAAGCTCTGGAATTCACCCGAAAAGATAAAAACTTTAAAACTTCTATTGATAAAAAAATTAAGGTTGTCCCCAAAACAGAAAAGCTAAAACCCTCTTATATAGAGACCCTAAAACATAAAAAAAGAAAAACTAATTAAAAAGGAAAATTTCCAGAAAACAAATAAAAAAAGGAAAACTTCTAAATAATAATGGATTAGGTTCCATATACAGATTCTCCTACATCAGTCTCGTCCACCTCCAAAGGACTCGACCCCGAGTTCTCTTCTTGATAAAGAACACCATCAGCATGGTACTCATAGATGTTAGCCACATTGAACGTATTAGAAATGTTCATGTCTTCCAGAAATGCCACCACATAAATATTATCATTTAACTTTCACAAAATCTTGAATAATCCATGTTTGTGAGACTTAATGATGAGAATCTTGGCCAAATAAATGTAGATGGGTTTCTCCTTGTATCTGGAAGGTTTGATGGGGTAAGTGAGCTTCCTGAGAATCTTCTTTATGGTCTGGAAGGTGTTGATGTCGTGCATAGATTGAAGGAAAAAGAGCTGTTGAAGTTTTAATGCTTGAGACTCCAAATAAGACAAATTTAAGTAAATGAAGATTCATCTGATCTTCTGGGTACTGGTGCAGCTAAAGACGTCATGGATGTCTTCTGGATGCTTAAGATGATATCATGGCTTCCACAGAAAGATCTGGTTCGAGCCAAATTGGAGTGGTTGGCAACTTTCCATAAACAATGTCGGTTTAATCGGTTAAAAAACATTGATTACATCTTGGTATTTTCTGAACCAAATCTCTTGATTTTGGACTTCCTGGAAAGATAAGAAACCCCTCTTCAAATCCATGGTTGATTCTGGAAGAGGCCGCTTCATGGGACTGAAATCCACTTCAAAGGGCTGATACTCACAACTCGATGTGCTGGAGAACCTTCAGTTTGTAAAATTCATATCTTTATGGTCCAAATATATTTTGATATGATTTCAATTGGTATGGACTCCATAATGAGTGTAGAATCCATTAAAATTGGTTTCATTTTGAACGTTCTTCTGGTTGTGGAAATATTTGCCTTGGACTGAACCTTGGTCGCTGGTACCCTCTAGATGGCCAGCTTGGAAGGTTTGGTGAGACATTGGTTGAACCATAGATTTCATTACCACAACAGCTGGTGCTTTGTTCTGTGGTGTAGTATTAGAGCTACTAGCTCCTTTTTTCTGGTTTGGAGTCTTTATTGACTACATTTTTTTTTCCACTCGTTGGTTCAAAACTGGTCTGAGCCATGTTTCTTCTAAATGTTGAGAACCCTCGTGATGATTTCTCATCTTTTCTAGACTGGAAGCTTCCTACACAGTCCATACGGTTTGCAAGATCATCTTTTCCTGAAGAGAACCCTTTAAACCGCTGATGTACCTAGCCACCTTCTGATTCTCCGTCTCGCCTAACTCACTGTGTTCAGAGAAACGCAAGAATTCAGCTGTGTATTCAGTCACAGTTCTGTCCCCTTGAACACAATCGAGATACATCTTGTAAAGAATCTGTTCATAATCTTTTGGTAAGAATCGCTCCAGCATTAATTGCTTCATTCGGCGCCAAGTCTTAATTGGTCCTCTCCTTTGTCTTTGCTTTTGGACAACGAGTTTATCCCACCATACTGCAGCAGTTTTCTTCAGTCTGATTGCTACCATTTTAACTTGTTTACTCTCAGGAACACTCATGACATCGAAAAATCGATCCACATCAATTTGCCAATCAAGAAACTCCTCCACACCCATAGTTCAATAGAACAATGGAATATCGGCCTTTACTCGATAATCATGATTGTTTTGTTGGTTTCCTTCAGCTATTTATTCTTTTGATTCCTCATCTGAACTAGAATTATCAACAACAACATCACGATTGTTTCTACCTTGTTGACCCCTAATTTGGCTTCTTTCTCCACACCTCATTGGGAAAAGCCACAACCTGATTAGTTAACGCTGTTACCAGATTTGCCAATTGAGCAGTGGTTGCATCCCTTAAACCTTCTGTGAAACCCATGAAGTCGGCTTTGGTTGCTGGTTGATCACCCATAGCTGATCAAGCTTCGAAAAGAGAAGGAGAAAGCCATGTTCTGATACCACTTGACGCAGTCGGAAATCACAAAGGTTAGCAAACACTAATAGATAAAAATCAAACTCTCATGCAAAAACTCCACAATAAAAAACTCTGAAATCCACCAGAAAAAACTCTGGAATCCACGAGAAAAGATAAAAGTTTTGAAACTTCTATTGATAAGAAAATTAAGGTTGTCCCCAAAACAGAATAGCTAAAAACCTCTTATATAGAGAGACCCTAAAACATAAAAAGGAAAAACTAAATAAAAAGGAAAACTTCTAAAAAATAATGGATTAGGTTCCATAAGCAGATTCTCCTACATAATCAAGTGTTATTGGTTAGACATATTCCATTGCCTTCCATAAGCAGATTCTCCTACTTAATCAAGTGTTATTGGTTAGACATATTCCATTGCCTAATTGTTGGACTGGGATTCTGTTCTGATTTCCTTGGCTGATTGCTTGCTATAGAGTCACACTGTGTGACTGTTTTGTAAGTATGTATGGCTCTAAGATTTTGTCTAGCCACTCGATTCAATGTTATCTGCACAGAAAAGGACTGAATGAATCACCAACTGGTCCTGGGGAAGTGTAATCAGTTTGAATAAATGTTTTATAAACAATTCATAGGTGGAACGGTTTCTCTTCAGTATCAGTAGTTCTATAGTGCCTGCTGGGCTTGAAGGCAGACATGAAATCCTGGAAGAAATCTACCTACAAGCCTTGGCACTTGTCATGTTCTGTTCTGCTCTTTTAAAGAATAAAAGATAAGCGTTGGGCTGTATAATAGGTTGCGTGTTAGTCAAGTATTTATTGAAGTAACCTAACTTTTAGGTGGAGCCTTGTGGTGAACGAGTATAAATTCTATTCCTTAAGTTTGTCCTCTAGTGTACAAGTCCATGTGTATATTTGATTATGAATTAAATAAGACTTAAGCAAGCTTATATTTTTATTTTTTTACCTAACTGTACGTGGCGAGTTGTGGAGTTCATGTGGTGTACAAATCTGTCTTCTCCAGCGTGACACCTCTCTACCTCCTCAAGCTTCCATTTGGCTTTTCCACCACCTTTTTCTTGATCCATTACTATAATACCTAAAAAAAATTCTTTCCAGATTCTTGCCTTGCATACTTTCTTCAGATACTTTTGTTTTTAGATTGTGTTCATTGCTCCTTTCAAGATGGAGAAGAATGTGACGAACTCAGATTTGAAATCCTCCGTCAATGGTGGCGTTGTTGATGTCTATGGAGAAGATTCAGCCACCATTGAGCACAGCATAACTCCATGGTCTCTCTCTGTTTCTAGGTAAACAACATAACTCCTCCAACGTCACAGAACTACTAATTCTCTAACCTAACATTTAAGGTAGTAAATTACTTTTAGTTTATTTATTTCAGTGGTTATTCATTGCTGAGAGATCCTCGTTACAACAAAGGAATTGCTTTCAATGAGAAAGAGAGAGACACACACTACTTGCGTGGCCTTCTTCCTCCAGCTGTTGTTGATCAAAACCTTCAGGTGAAAACTTGGGTGATTTTAGTTTCTTATTTAGATATCTTTTGACAACACTAATGTTGTGTTTCAAATGATTGTAGGAGAAGAGGCTGATCAACAACATCAGACAGTATCAATATCCATTACAAAAATACATGGCCTTGACAGAACTTCAGGTAAAAAACTTGCATGTTCAAACTTCAGAGAAATCAGATGAATGAATCTCTTACTATTCCTATACTTCAGGAAAGAAACGAGAGGCTGTTTTACAAGTTATTGATAGATCATGTTGAGGAGCTTCTACCTATAGTTTATACTCCAACTGTTGGTGAAGCTTGTCAGAAATATGGTAGTATTTTCAGACGTCCTCAAGGTCTATTCATCAGTTTAAAAGAGAAGTAGGCATTGTAACTTTCATCTTTATGATTTTTCTTTTTTTAGCCCACTTTGATCTTTACTCTTAATATATTCATACAGGGGAAAGATTCTAGATGTGTTAAAGAACTGGCCTGAAAGGAACATACAAGTTATAGTTGTTACAGACGGCGAAAGGATTTTAGGATTAGGAGATCTTGGATGTCAAGTAAGTTCAATGATATAGCTTCAGTTCAAGTCTTGATATGAACTTGTTTAAGTAGCTGAACAGATTTGGTATTGCCATTAGGGGATGGGTATACCTGTTGGTAAACTGGCCTTATATTCAGCACTTGGAGGTGTTCGTCCTTCTGCGGTAATGACTTTTAAGTGTAGTTAGGGTTTATAGAGTGTTTTACAAGTCAGGAATATGAGACTAAGTTGTTTTTTTATTCTTCCAGTGTTTACCTGTCACCATTGATGTGGGAACAAACAATGAGAAACTGTTGAATGATGAGTTCTACATAGGACTCAAACAAAAGCGAGCAACAGGACAGGTAACGCTATAGTCTTGTTCTTGAGAGTTGGGAACTTTCAAGAAGAACTGAGTAGATTTTTATGCATAACATGATTTCTGCAGGAGTATAGTGACCTTTTGCATGAATTCATGAGTGCTGTGAAGCAGAACTATGGAGAAAATGTTCTTATACAGGTGCTAAGTTATGGTGAATTCTTGCTTTGATTTTTATGTAAGCTTTGTTATGTATATTTTTTTGTGTGTTATCTTTCATTTGACACACAGTTTGAAGATTTTGCTAATCATAACGCATTCGAGTTGCTTGCAAAATACCGTGATACTCATCTCGTCTTCAACGATGATATACAGGTAAGTATTTAGACTTCTTGTTGTCTTCAAAGTTTGAAGTAGTAGTATTGTTTTTTTGTATTTGTGAATTCAGGGGACAGCAGCTGTTGTCCTTGCTGGACTGGTTTCTGCACAGAAATTAACTGATAGTCCACTAGCGGAGCACACCTTCCTCTTTCTTGGTGCTGGTGAAGTAAGAATCAGTTTTCTTGGCAGAACAGTCTCTGATCCTTAGGCTCAAAAAGTGTTTCTGATGTCTTATTGTTTTGTTGTTGCAGGCTGGTACTGGAATAGCAGAACTTATAGCTCTCTATATATCCAAACAGGTGATGAGTTTTCTGGAAATTTGGTGAAATATTTGCTCCATTTGCTTACGGTATACCTCATCTTTCTTTTGCAGATGAATGCTTCGGTAGAGGAAAGCCGCAAGAAGATCTGGCTTGTTGATTCCAAGGTAGAAGAAGTTATTTAAGAATTTACATATGCATGATTCATTCATTGGAACTATAGTTTTGAAGTAAGATTGGTTTGTGATAGGGACTGATTGTTAACTCCCGTAAAGAATCTCTGCAAGCCTTCAAGAAACCATGGGCTCATGAACATGAACCTGTCAGCGACCTCTTAGGTGCCATCAAGGTTCCAAACTACTTCTTCCTGATTTTACATCTCAGTCTGTTTTATTTCTCCTCTTGAGTTATATATGTGTGACCAGGCCATAAAACCGAATGTTCTGATTGGATCCGCTGGCATTGGACGGTCTTTCACAAAAGAAGTGATTGAGGCCATGTCTTCCATTAATGAGGTACTTTGTTATTTTTCTCTGCTAAGAGATTGTATCAAGACAAGGTTTTGGTTTAAAGAAGAGCACGTTATTGCAGAGACCATTGATAATGGCTCTCTCAAACCCAACAACACAATCAGAATGTACAGCTGAAGAAGCTTATACCTGGAGTAAGGTAACAAGTCTCTCCAAAACCACACCATTATCATACCAAATACGTTCTGATCATCTGTTGGTATGAAGGGTCGTGCAATTTTTGCAAGTGGAAGCCCGTTTGATCCAGTTGAGTATGAAGGAAGTGTGTTTGTATCTACACAGGTAATAGAAGAAACTTATTTTGTCTTCATCTCTTGTGGTGTAAGGAAAGAAACTTAGTAAACTTCTTTCCATTTCTTGAAACACAGGCGAACAATGCGTATATATTTCCAGGTTTGGGACTTGGTTTGGTCATCTCAGGAGCCATAAGAGTGCATGACGATATGCTTCTGGCAGCAGGTAAGTGTTACAAGTGTGCCTAGAAATCTCAGAGAGATCTAAAGTTAGCAAAAGCTACTCTAAAAGCATTGTTGCTAATGTTATGTGTAATTGTAATAATAGCTGAGGCATTAGCTGGACAAGTAAGCAAAGAGAACTATGAGAAAGGAATGATATATCCTCCCTTCTCTTCCATCCGCAAAATATCAGCTCATATCGCTGCCAATGTAGCAACTAAAGCATATGAACTAGGTCTCTCCCTTTCTTTCTCTCTTTGATATCTTTTGTATTCAGTCCTAAAACTAAAGATATTGGGGTTAGTAGGAGTGGCGGGGAAGCTTCCACGGCCTAAGGAGATTGTCAAGTGTGCAGAGAGTAGCATGTACAGCCCCACCTATCGTCTCTACCGTTGAGGCCAAGAATCAAAGCTCAGACTCTTCTTTTGTATGTAAACTGCTGTGTCACTTGTTCTCCCAGTGTTTTTCAGTACTAGCTTCCCATAATAATGAACTGCTTTGTGTTTAGTGTTCATGCAAGATCTCATGTTTGCCTTCCCTTGTATCTCTTAATAGACGACAAGACTATACTTATCTGTTCTAAACTTTTGCTTTTTGGCTCCACCTGACCCTTTATCTACAACAATTCACTTAGATGTAGAATGTGTGGTATTCAAACACTGTATAAGCAAAACAGCTTAAAGGATAACACAAACATAAAGATATCAACAAATAAGAATTTCCTAGAGGGGAAATAATGATTTTCTTCTTCACCAATAAACATTTTGTACCCAAAAAAAAAAACACAAAAACAAGATCAAATCTTCCTCACCTAAGGAAAAAGAATCACCAAAGAATCATCAGTTCACCCGTTAATTCCCGGGCAAAAGAAACGACTTTTGAGCTTTGAGCTTTGCTTTCTAACTGTATTTAACAAATTAAAAAAAAAAAAGAAAAACGAACTGTTTAAACATCAAACTTCTTTGGTTGTCGCCAGTGAGCAAAGTTTCTTCCCAGTGAGCTTAAGAAGGAAGCTTTCTGTAAAGCTCCCTTCTTACCATACAAGTGTTTGCCTCCTAAATCAGTCTTTGCTGGTACCATATCATTCCTTCTCTCTATCTGTTATAAATCCCATCGCAAGAAACATTCTCAAAACATATATACTCAAAAGATAAGGACACTACTCAAAAGAGCCACTTGGATTTACCTTGAAAACCTTTCCATTTCTCAAGTGGTATCTAATTCCAGACCAGTTTATCGATTGAGAAAAGTGAGAACGGAATGCTGAGATCGGGTACAGAAAGTTGTCCACTAGCATTGCTATGAATATCTGCAAAAAAAAACAATTTCCCCAAAAATATCAAACCAAGAAATATTCTTTTATTTCTCTCTTATCTTATCATCAGTACTCAGGTTTTCTATCATCTAATAAAAAAATGGGGGTTGAAAAGCACGTACAAGTCCCCAGTTGTAAGGTGCAAGAGAGAGACGGGGTGCCTCGGGGGATAACAGATTGCATAGCGTTACTTCTCGTCTTGTCAAATTCCACATTGACAGAAGTTCGATGAAGGTGCAGGTCGCCAACAATATAACAAGCGACATACCTGCATAGAAACCTCTTTCCAGGTCAGTATGTAGCACAAAGAACAGCACATAATCCTACAATTATAAGTTGAATATGACAAATCACTATGCTTCCACATGTAACAACACTTCTCAGATCATCGTGGGACTAGAATTTCTCTCATCTTCATAAAAGTATGCTCACCACTAGAAGCAAAGGTTGTGTCTTCAAGTTGATTATATCCCTTGATGTAGATTCTTAAAGCTGATGTGATGTGGATTACAGCCATAATATATGGTGCAACAAAGCCCCATGACAGATAGCAGTGGACGGCAAACAAAGCCTTGTTCATTATCCAATTAACTTTGGATATGTAAGATTCTAGCACAAAGGTTTGCTTTCTCAAGTAGTTCCAGTACCTATAGAATAGGAGAGGAAGAATGGTTAAAATCCAAAAAGTTTCGTACATTTGGGGGCTTCAAACAAGTGAAATACGAGTATTTACCGTCCAAAACTTAGATCAGTTGCAAGAGGATGAGGGAAAACAGCAACAGGAGGAGATGTAATGAGCCTCTTATGAGCACCTGAGGTAAAAAAATACAGGTGAGCGGAAACAAGAAGAAACTAAAACTCTACATACAATAGTGTTACCAGCTAAAGCGGCAAGTGTCATATCATCTGAATATCCACCATCACGTAAGCCAGAGACAACACCATATCGATCTTGTCTGAAATCATCAGCATGCATCTACAAATAGTTGCAAATAATCACTAAAATTACAGGTAGATACGGAGAATACTAAAGAAACATTATCTACCATGCTATTGACATACCATCATGCACCCTCCCCACAAAAAGAATGTTGTCCCACCAGTCGCAAATCCCATGGAGCAAGGCTGTAAAGAGAAAATGCCAATATTAGTTCAACTTACAAAAAAAAGTTACAAACATGGAAGAACATAAACGGGTAATATGGAAGCCAGTAAAGAAGGAAGATAGATGCCACTTTACCATGTGGTACTCATAGATGCAATAACTTCCTAGAGTTCCAGAGGGCAAGTCTAAGGGATACCCAGTTTGAATAAATATCTGCAACACATCACCGTTGATGTTAATAATTTCAACAGAAGGAAACATAATTAAGGGCCTATTATCATTAAGCTAATATATTCATGATCATGAACTATATAGTTTGGGTACCACCTCTGGATTTTTCTCCATCTCAGCCGTGAGAGCTCCAATTGTTCCAGGATGCAGGCTAACATCATCGTCCAAAAACAACACATATTTGGTATCTTTGTGCATTTTCTCAACTCCAATCTTCACAGAAGCAGAAACCAAATATGAAAAAAATAGTCAGCAAAAGCCAATGAATGAACAACATAAATGAAAAATGTATCTTGGAGTTGTTTAGCCAAGTATAGTTACAATTACCATTGAGAGAGAAAGAGAGAATTACATACCAACTGATTATGAATTTTCTGGCTGCAAGTCGTTGCTAAACCAGCAATAACAACCTTAGCTTCAACATGATCCTGCGCACATTTAAGCATAATAATGAGAAAAGTTTTGGGGGTGGGTCAGTACATACTTCCAAGACAAAAGAAGGTCGTATGAACTTTGAGTACTTTCCATTAGTGATCATATAGAAAACAAGTTAGACAACCCATTGAAACGTGTCTGTACCTGATGCATGGATAGTAGACGGGAAACAGCATGATAAGCAGGGTCTTCAGTACTTTCTAAAACAAATAGGAATTCCAATGGTCCACCATAGAGAGATGTAATCTACACAAATATAACAACAAAGTTGGAACCAAGACACTTCTCTGGCAAAAAGCTTAACCATGATTAATAAAGTACAAAAGAAAAACTCTGCCAAGAACACGAGGGCCCGACCTGACTTCTCCAGTTGTGCAAATTGTGTTCTCCAAATCCTTTGAGAGGCATGACAACGGAAACCCTGGGAAGTTTAGCCTGTCTCGAGTGCTCGAGTTCATTGATGTCTTGGTAGAGGAAAGCCAAGCTGTTCCCCGCTTTCATACTGTTTTTAATTCTCTTAATCTCTCGGTTCCTTAAGAGACGGAAACATAAACACACAGGGAGAGACATTTCAGGACAAGAAAACAGAGGCAGGCAGCAAAATCAAAATCAAAATCAAAATCAAAGCAAGCATATTTTGATAGTACCTGACATATGCAGCCATTAACCAGCCTAGAGCAAGGAGTAAGCATATAACACATCCCTGAGGCATATAAAAGAAACAATAAAAATCTTATCTTGATGATAAAAATGCCCAACCAGACAAGTCTAGCAGAATGTCCAAAAGAATCAAGAAGAGGCAAATCTTGAGCTGACCTGGATCTGAAGGAAGACGGAGAAAGGGGAGCAGAAGGCTCTGCTGAGAGAGAAAAGAAGGGAATCCATGGAGTCCAATGCGGTAGACATTATTAAAGATTGTTCCTCTGCTCTCCCCCAAGTGTTCACGTGCCCCCTTTCGAAGAAGCAAAAACACCCAATGGAAGAGGAGGAGGAGGAAAATGAGGAGCCCTAGATTTTGAGATTCGTCTCTCTATATCTATCTTCTCGAACCAATTAAAGTGGTGAAATTTAGCAGATCGCCATTGACGGAGCAGCGAAAATCCAGAGAGAAGGAATCACACAGTTCATCCATTTAATCATCCACACATCCCTTTCCCTTCCTCTTTTTTTAATTCAAATTTTTAAAATTCAATTTTACTATTTTTGATTTTAATATTTGTTTCTAGAATAATGAAATATTTTACTCCTCGTTACAATTTGCATAAGAAAACATCTATACTATTATTTGCGAAGTGATTTTTCGCAACAGAGCTCTCACATCTCTATAATATTATTTGAGAAGTCAGTTTCCTACGTGTCGCGCTCACGTTAACTCTCGCGATGGTTGATTACATAGATACCCTTAATGAATTGTTAGATTTTAAGATTATTATTAATTTTTATTTAGTTTCCTTTTTACCTTTTTCCAAATAATATATATAATAAAAAAGAAATATTTCTAAAATTTTAAAACAAATTTAAAAACGAAAATATATGTATATAATATGAGTTATTAAAAAGGAAAGTTCACAAAATAGTAATACACCCATTAATATATATTTTTGAATAACATAAAATATATTTTTAAAATAATGAAAATATATATTTTCATGAACATTCAAAAATTTATCAGTTACATTTTATTTTCTACTATTTTTTGGAAATCAACATATAATTTGATAAATATTATGAAAATGCATGTAAATTTAAGCGATTAATCTTTATAATATTATTTGAGAATTCACTTTTTTATGTGTCGCGCTCACGTTAACCCTCACGCTGATTGATTACTATGATACGTCTAATGAATTAAAAATACATTTAAATATTATTATTTCTTTTAAAAAAATTCCAAATAACAATATAAAATAAAAAAGAAACATTAATAAAGTTTAAAAATCTATTTAATAAAGAAAATATAAGTATATATAAATATGGTTTCATAAAAAAGGAAAGCTCACAAAATAGCAATATTAAATTTAAATATATTTAAATAACATAAAATATACTTTTGAAGTAATAAAATACTTTATATCTATATCTTCTTAAATGAAAAACAATATTTGTATATAATGTGATTCCATAAAAAAAACTTACACAACTAATCTTGATAATAGAAAAATAAATAAATTTAAACAATAAATATATATAATTTCAAAGTAATTATTTTTTGTATATATCTATCTATTTTATTAGATGATTACATAGAATAATTAAGTAACATAAACTGATATATGTTTAATTGACAACTTTTGTTATAATTAGTATTCTTGAAATATTTTTTTTAATTTTTAGTATATATATTTGACTATAATATCTTACAATTACAGCAAAAAATATAAATT